TGGGAAGAACAATATCGAACTGTTAGAGGAATAAGTTAATACATTTTCTAGGCTGAAAGAACAATATTGAAATATTCCAGGAACAAGTTAGCACAATTCAGTATTTAGTATTTTACAACAACTATTTAGGAAATCAGCTATTCCACGTTTTCACTCGATTACCTAAACAGTGCAATAGGTTTAGTCGTTTAGAAACACTGATGAGAAATTCAATAGCAGAAAGGCATTGAAAAGTAATTAAAACTGTTTCAATAGAGAAGATAATTATTATAAGACATGCATTACATGTGCATAAAACTACTGAAATTTCATAGGCAGCGAAGCGACAGACCATTGTGAACATTGCCGAATTTTTTCAGAGCTTTTGAGCTTAGGAGGTATTTTATTAATTTTGCAAAAATCTTTTATCACAAAAATCTTCCAAACTTGGCGAAAATTTTAACTGAATTACTTGTTAAAAACAGATTAAACCAGCATCTTTTCTCCAAATCATAACACCGAACCAAGTTTTGATACCCTACTTCCTATCCTATTTCCCTGAAATAAAATGGCATAACAGCCCACAATAACCTTACCGATCCCAATCTTCATCCAGAATCGTCATCAACAGAACCAGTACGAAGAAACCAACACTTACAGTGTTTAGACAAATGGTAAAACTAAGTGATAATTTAAAAGTAAAGTGCATAAAAAAATAACAAAAACTTGACAAAATCAACAAAACTGACAAAAGTAAGTTTAATTGCAAGATTTGAAACTATTATTGTTATTGTTATAATCAGCCCAAACCAACATCCAACGCCATCATAACCAAGAAACCAACAATTGAACTTATAGATGCCAATCGACCATTACCATTTCGTTGTGCTTCCGGTATAATATCATCCAGAACAACATAAATCATTGCACCTGCAGCAAAACTTAAAGCATACGGTAAAATCGGTTCCATTATGATCACGACAGTTGAACCAGCTAATGCTCCCAATGGCTCTACCACACCTGAAGAAAAAATCATTCCAAGGAAGAATATATATCTATACATGAATGAAGTGGAAGATTATTCTCATGTAATTATCTGTCCCCCTTTACCTCATTGAAGAAAACACCCACTTTCTCGTGGAAAACTCCACAAAAATTTTGAAATTCATAACTTCACAAAAAATGAAAAAGCAAATACTTGACTTTATTGGGAAAATACCAAAGACTACAATAAGTTTTCAAAAATTCGTTATCTAGGACTATGCAATTACAGTCTTCGTAAAACTGTTCAAATGTTCCCTAAAGTGTAATCAGCAGCACTAAAACTTCACCCTCTTGAAACAACTTTCACAATTTTAACCGTCAAATCGCGTCATTACATACATCCGACGTTAAGTCATTATAAAAAATTAATTTTCTGATCAAAAGAAGGAAGGAAAACTGATGATATTGTTTTAGATGTTAAATTTTCCAAACTTTAATTTCGGTTGCATTACAAGTTAATTTGGAGTTTGGAAAAAGAAAAGGAAAACATATACAGACTTTCGGACTTCCGAAAAAAATCGCCACAACTAACCGGATAGTTGCCCGTAAAAGAAAGACTTTAGTTTACTATGACCGAAAGCAGCGAGTGGAAGTGAAACGGCTAGTCCTTCCGGGAAATTTTGCAAACCAATACCAATAGCCAATGCAAAAGCCGATTCGAAGGTTGCCTTGGCTGTTTTCCCAATAGAACCTATAAATAAGTTTAAAAATTATTTCAAGATAAGACGACTTCTGAGATGCAGAGAACCAATGTTTCGATCGTTCTCCCAAATCCCATGTAACCAATGAGCTTAATTTTCGTGACCGAATATAAAGAATTTTAATTTCTCAAATTGCCCCAAAATTTAAGGGGATTGGTTTATTCGATGTATATAAATTTCAATTCATACAAAAATTCATACAATTGTTACGAACTGCGACAACAGATGAAAAAAAAAGCTAAAAGTGAAAAATTTACAAAAATGTAAGCGTCCGACAAACCGTTCAAAGCTGTGATAAAACAAATCAGAAAAAAGGATTTTAGAAAATAATTCCTAAACTTGGACCAATGTTTGATGTTAAATTACACGAAAGATAGACGATACATGAATTTTATGAAAAAGTACCATGTAAACCAGAGGAGGAATGTTTAGATTAAAAAATATGCGAAAACCAAGTAAAAGAGGCAATACACATACTTCATCTCGCCAAAAAATTCTAATGTAGATATAAGAAAAAAAGAAAAAAATCGAACACATACCAAATGCAACACCAACAGCTAAACCTTCCGGAATGTTATGCACCGTGATAGCAACAATTAACAAAAGGATGCGCCGCCACGAAACAGATGAGATAAGAGCCTGTTCTTTATCAACTGCTCGATTGCCATTTTCCATCACTGTTACAGCTGTTGTTGTTGCATCTGAAGTATTTCCATCCGCATTGTTAGCAGTAGCTGTGGAATCATCCGTCTGATGGATCCTAAAATGAAATAGTATTATTCTGCCTTAGATATCTGTGTAACTTTTTTGGTTGTTCGAGCAAGCCAAGCTACATGCAAAGTTTCACAGGAAAGAAATATTGCGAGAAACATAAAAAGCATAGAACACTTAAGTTTCCAAGTAATAACTAATGTGACGTCTTGGCAAACCAATAGAATCAATTCTAATACTCAAGGATCAAAACTAATGAAATGTGACAATGTGATTCAGTGGCGAAGCTATGCCAGTTCGGGACCGCTCATGTGACATAGCAAAAATATAGCACGGATTTTTCAAATCAGACTTATTTAATCCGTTGATATTGTTGTAGCCATATATATATATATATGTCATATCTCGCTACACTTTTTGTTATCAGGTGGACGACGAATGCAAGCGTCTCAATGATTTTTTTAATGTTAATTAAAAAGTGCATTTTATCTACTGACAAATAAGATCAGTTAAGCCTGTTTTACGTGAATAACTTTCTCTTATGAACTTTGTCAGACCTTGAAAATTCATAAAGTAATTACAATGAACTGCTTTTTTTGTCGACAGCAGACAAAATATAGCAATGTACGGTGATTAAAGCTTTAAAAAGCAAAGCGAAAATATTCGAAAATGATTTTTTGTACAAAACGAAGAAAATAAAATCCATGGTATACTCCGGTTCAGAGAAAAAGGGACGAAAGAGCTGAAATATCAGACAATTATTTCAACTCTTTTTTAAGGTCAGGAAAGTAATTTGTTGTTTTTGAAACAAAACGGAAAAAGGTAAACTGTATAAGCAAGTTTCAAGCAAGGCTAACTCTATCACGGTAGAGTAGATGGACACCTACACCTATTTTCCGCAGTTCAGTGATGGATTATTTGACCAGATGTTTTTGCAGGAGCAGATCCATACCGTGCAATATTATCGTTTGATTCCTTAAGTTTCACCATTGATATGCTTTCTTCAACAATTACATCCAACGGTTTAACTGCTTTAGTATCGACTACCGCGGCATCTTCCTTTAACAGATCCACCACTGAGATGTCCGAAAGCACACAACTAAAATTGAACCAAAGAATAACAACTCTTTTTCTACAAAATTTAAAACTCTTTTTTATTTCAGAAAGAAAACATTTTCAAATGTTACGTCTTCATTAGCTATTCAAGTTACGCAAAAAGTTATGAAAGAGAGAAATTTTATGATTTTTAGAGACTCTGAAACCCTTGAAAATCTGAGAATTTCGAATAGAAATATGTTGGTTTGGTGATAAAAAAAAATCTGTACAGAACTTATATGCATACTTTCAAAAAACACAACACCAAAATGTAACAAAATACAATTTTTGTCAATGGAACTATCATGCACAGCAACAATTCTCTCCCTTACCTTGGCATTATCCGATCAGCAGCATATACAAAAGCTGCTCCAACAGCAAAACCAACTGCGACTGGAAGAAATGCAAAGGAGCCCATTTCTACTGCTGCTAATTCGATTGCCGGTGCTAACAAACTCCAAAATGATGCTGCTGTCATAATTCCAGCAGCAAAACCCAAACTAATATCTGCAGCACGGAAACAAGCTTTGATCCGAATCACTATTTTATTCACTCAGTTTGAGTAGATATTAAATAATTCAATATCTTATTTATTTGAGTAGATTTTAAAATAAATTCTCGGTGAATCGTAATTCTAACGTTATCTTAGTAGCTACGTCTAAGTTGGTCACTTAACTTTATTTGCTTAAGTCGAAATAATGACTACTGGTGCTCACTTTAATTCCTGCTCCTTCAGTTTCAAGTTCGAGTCTTTGCCGGAGTTCAACTATTTTGCTCATTTGAATTAGTTAACTAACCTTAAATGCATCGAAATTATTACCTGACTATTCCGGTTTTTTAAACTCAAGTTGTCTTGAAAAAAAAAAGAAAAAGAAAAATATTTGCAAACTGAGGAAGAAAAGATGATGTTGCATGAAGTCAGGCAATTAGTTTTTCATCGATTTAGTGCGAAAAATTTATAAGTCGAAATTTTATTTTGCGCTTACCCAGTAGTTTTTTACTCGACGGCGGTGTGAAGAAAACAATGGCTGCACCAAGAGCGGTAACACCCCATGTAAACAATGAAGCAATAAATGCTTGTGGTACGGTATTCCAACCTCGAATCATTCTTTCAAAAGGTATCAAATTGAGAAATGATTATCTGGTACTTAGATTTCCCCCAGAATGCTAAAAATGTTGAACCTTAAGACGATTTGATTAAATCAAATTTAAATAAAATGAAATTCTGACGTTACTCCGATATTTTAATTGCTTACGTATGTGTACGTCAGCTCTTAAATTAAAATTCCAACGTATATTTTGAACATTTTAATTGATGCAATCATATTAAGCAGATGTTTTTCAAGTGATTTGAACGAAGTTATAGGGCAAATTGAACTGTAAATGTTTTACCGTTATAGAAATAAGTGAATAAATAAATGTCCAAATTACGTAACTAATACGATGCGAAATTAAGGAAAGGCTAAAAATTAATAGAAAAAAATGCTTAAGCAGCAGTATGAGATAGAAAACGAAACTAATGTTTTTCTAATAACAATAAAAAAAATATATCGAAAAGGATTAGAAAGTTCTTCGAGAACAAAAAAAAAAGGGAAACAATGAGGAAAAGTCATACTGGCAATATGCTATCTATTAATCAACCAGAAACCTCGAACCCTTACCAACTAGCCCTTGTCCTGAGATATCTCAGAGGAATGAAGCCAAAAGGAAATGATGAAAAGAATGTGAAAGGAACGTTGTGCAACACCTTTCTGTCCCATCTTTTCTGCTAAACCATTGTAATGATAAATTTGCTTGGTATTTATTGATTGAATTCAATTTTTTGTTTTGATTTTTAAATTCCGAAATTAAATTAAAATGACAAATTAAATAAGTAAACGTAAAAGT